ATAAGCAAACAAACAAACAAACAGTTCTGGGGTGCCTGGGTGGCATAGTTGGCTAAGCGGCTGCCTTCAGCTCAGGTCAGGATCCTAGGGTACTGAAATGGAGTCCTGCACCGCATCACATTGGGCTCCCTGCTCAGTAAGGAGTCCACTTCTCCCTCTCCCTCTCCCCCTCCCCCCCACCCCTGTGCTCGCCCCCCAAATAACTAAATAAATAACTAAATAAAATCTTAAGGAAAAAAAAGAACAACAATGCATTTCATTTGGTTTTCACAATTTACTTGTGGACTTCAGCACCTATCAGGAGCCTACTTACTGAGCTTTTCTGGATTTTCCAGTCAACTCTTCTTCAATTCTCTGGAGGCCCACAAAGATTCCATGGGATTCATTGAAGAGTTTTCTCAAGATCTGAGAGTAAACATCTATATCCTTTCGGATGATATAGATAAAGGGGCAGCCTGGCTCGGTCTCTGATTTTTCTATAACAGAAAAATTTAACATCAATCACCATTACCCTCATACAAGAACTCACTTCAAACTTTTTTTTAAGATTTTATTTATTTATTCGAGAGAGAGAGAGAGATCACAAGCAGGGGGAAGGGTAGAGGGAGAAGCAAACTCCTTGCTGAGCAGGAAGCCCAATTTGGGACTTGATCCCAGGACCCTGGGATCATGACCTGAGCCAAAGGCAGACACTTAACCGACTGAGCCACCCAGGTACCCTAAACTTTTTTTTTAAGATTTTATTTATTTGACATAGAGAGACACAGCGAGAGAGGGAACACAAGCAGGGGGAGTGGGAGAGGGAGAAGCAGGCTTCCTGCGGAGCAGGGAGCCTGATGCGGGGCTCAAAAAAAGGATCCTGGGATCGTGACCCCAGCCAAAGGCAGATGCTTAACACTGAGCCACCCAGGCACCCTGAACTTTTTTTAAGATTTTATTTCCTTGAAAAAAAGGGTGGCTCAGTCGTTAAGCGTCTGCCTTGGGCTGAGGTCATGATCCCAGGGTCCTGGGATCGAGTTCCGCATCGGGATCCCTGCTCCGTGAAAAAAATGCTTCTCCCTCTCCCACTCTCCCTGCTTGTGTTCCTGCTCTAAAAAAATCTCTCTCTGTTTCCTTGATAGAGAGAGAGAGAAGCAGGTTCAAAAAAAAACAGGGAGGCCCATGTGGGGCTTGACCCCGGGACCCTGGGATCATGACCTGAGCCAAAGGCAGATGCTTAACTGACTGAGCCACCCAGGTGCCCAAGCGTCCAACTCTTGATTTTGGCTCAGGTCATGATCTCAGAGTCATGAGATCGAGCCCCGCGTCAGCCTCTACACTGGGCATGGAGCCTGCTTAAGATTTTCTCTCTCCCTCTCCCCCTGCCCCCAACTCCCCACTCGCATGAAAAAAATCTATCCAAAAAAAAAAAAAGTATGAATTATCATTTATTTTTAAAAAAAAATTTACTTTTTCTCTTATTTTTTTAAAGTAAGCTCTAGGTCAAAAAAACCTGGCTGGCTCAATGGGTAGAGTGCGACTCTTTACCACAGGGATGTGAGTTTGAGCCCCACGTTGGGTGTAGCTATTACTTAAAAATAAAATCTTTTAAAAAAATAAAAGTAAGCTCTAGGCCCAACATGGGACTTGATCTTATTTTGGAACTACCTTTTGATTCCATCAACTGAAATATGCTGAAAAAAAAAAAAGTCACTTAATATTAGCCTATATATAACTCAATAAATAAGATAAAAAAACAGCCGAGAGCCTCATGGGTGGTTCAGTCAGTTAAGCGTCTGCCTTCAGCTCAGGTCATGATCCCAGAGTCCTGGGATAGAGCCCTATGTTGCGCTCCCTGCTCAGTACGGAGTCTGCTTCTCCCTCTCCCTTGGCCCCTGCCCCCTGCTAGTGCACACACACTCTCGCTCTCTGATAAATAAATAATCAAAAAAAAAAAAGAAACCTATAGCCAAAATTTTATATAACCTCAAATTCAAAAAAATATATTACTTTGTACTGCCATTACCCCTAAAACAAAGAATCAAGAGTTGCCTAAACTATTTTGCAAGTGATAAAAAGGCTCTTATAATGATAAATTATAAACCAGCAACTTGTGGAAATTTCTTATATAACAGCTTCTTGAACAAGCTCTGATGATGTTCAATGGCTTGTCTCTAATGAGATTTCAATAGACATAAACAGAAAATCTCATGTTTCCAACAATCAAGGACAAACTAAAAATGCTGATAAGCTTTCCCATTAAGTATGAAAAGAGGCCAGACATATTCAAAGAAAGTTCTCTTCTAAGCAATTGTCCCTTTGGCACCTTCTAGAGCTCAAAAAAACTTGAGATCTTTTTTTTTTTTTTTAAGATTTTATTTATTTATAAAAAAAAGACAGAGAGAGAGAGGCAGTGGCAGGAGAAGCAGGCTCCCCAAAAAAAGCAGGAAGCCCGATGCGGGGCTCAATCCCAGGACCCTGGGATAAAAAAATGAGCTGAAGGCAGATGATTAACTGACTGAGCCACCCAGGCGCCCCAAGCTTGAGATCTTTAATACTAAAATATCCCATAAACTTTTGGCAACATCAGGTACAATTGTTAATGATAAAATTAAGAAAAACTACATTGAAAAAATTTTTTTAACTACATCACTTCAAAATTGCATGAACTGCACACCACAAAAAAAACCAAAATTATGAGACTTCCATTAGAGCAATCCCCTCTTTATAAAAAAAAAAAACCTCCACATTTGAATAAAGAACCTATCAAAGATTTGCAAGAAAATATCTTAACATTTCCTGAGACTTCTCTTGAAATGGAGAAAGCAAAATCAAATGTCAAAATTTAGTTTTATCTTGCTACTAGAGGAGTCTGTAACAGAAAGATCCATGTCCAAAACCTAAAGGAGCTTAAAGAAAAAGGAAGAAAAAAATCACTCTCCATATCTTTTGTGCTTTATAGCAACAGCTAACAGAATTCATCAAGTTCACAATACCACAAAAGTAAGGGCTATGAGAGCTGCAAAAAAAAGGTAAGGGGGCTGCTATGAAGGGAATTTAGTCATTCTGGACAAGAAGGGGAAAAAACCTGAAATTTTTAAATACAAAGGAACACCACAAAGATTATTAATCTTTTTCCTGGACTCAACATCTTCCAGATCCCATAAATTAAAGAAAATATTAAACAGCTAAAGGTTCAAAAATGAAAATGGTACAAAGTAAGTTCAACTGTTTCTTGCCTCAGTTAATTAAATCTGAGACTATAAAGGAGAACAACAACCAAATGTGACAAGGTGGATAACCTGGAAGAAAAAAAAAAAAAAAAACCTACCTTTTTTGTTGAAGGAGGTTTCACACACCAGCATCTCCCCTGGACCCCAGTCAAAACACATTTGCTTCTTCTTTGAATTCACTCCCGGAATCAACTAGTTAAAAAAATTTTTAAAAAAGGGGAGGGGGGCACAGAAAAAAATATTTTTACTAAAGGCTTTGCTTTCAAATGATTTCCAAGTAGAACGCTAGAAATAAGTGGCCATGAAAATTAAGTGCTAATCTATGTATACAGCTGACCGTGTGGTTGAGGTCAGCCCAGTCTGTTAAACCCTGAATAAGAAAAAAAGCTTTCCTGGGCACCTCAACTCAGCCTGCCACTTTGCAAGTGAAAAAAAAAAGGAAAGCTATCCCTAATCAATTGCTATATTGTAATTCAACGATCTATAGTTCAGAAAAATGGAATTTTAAAAAAATAGAAAAGAAATCAAACTGTCTGGGGTGCCTGGTTGGCTTAGTTGGTTAAGCGTCTGCCTTCAGCTCAGGCTGTGATCCCAGGGTCCTGGAATCGAGTTCCATCGCATCAGAAAAAAATCTGCCTCTGCCTCTCTCTCATGAATAAATAAATATATCTTTAAAAAAATGAACTGTTGGGGCGCCTGGGTGGCTCAGTCATTAAGCGTCTGCCTT